GCTTCCTTCTGAGTGCTGTGAGTACCTTAATGCAGTCTAAAATCCCATTAGATTTGTTTATTTCCATATTATATTGTTATGGAGTTTGCTTTCCATGAAAACCCCTAGATCTTTTTTCAGACCACCTGCAGACTAATGACACTTCTTGAATCTTACATTAGTGAAGATGTTTGCTTGATAACTGTGTGGCTCAGTGGATAATACTAGGCTTGCAGACATGAAAACCTGAGTTCCAGTTCTTCCTCAGACCCTTGCCAGCTGTGAGACACCAGCCAAGTCATTTAACCATGCTGAGTCTCAGTTTCCTTCTAAGTAAAATGGAGACCAACAGTAACATCTACCTCATAGGGTTGCTATGGGGATCATGTATGTAATCATGTGGAGATAATGTACGTAAAGAACTTTGCCAACCTTAAAGCACTATATAAATGCCAAGCATTATCAATATTACTTTTGAAACCCAGTATCAGATTTTATATTTGTTTCTGTTGAATCTGAATTTCATCTTATAAGATGGGCCAAAGGTTCTAGATTACTAGGATTATTTTGAATTTTCTCATTGAGTGAGTCAGAGCTGAATTTCCCACTCAGCTTTATATCTTCTGAAAATTTGATAGGTATGCCATATATACCTTTTACTAAGGCACTGTTAAAAGTATTAAATGGTAAAGATTACTAAGACACTTCACGAGTGACTGCCCTTAAAGCAGAAACTGAATCAATAAAGACTACTCATTGGGAACCAGTTTTGAATCAGTTTAATGATACTGAGGTCTAATCCTAATCTTGCCATTGTTTCCATAAGAATCACAAGAGTCTTTTTCAAGTGCTTCAACAAAACCTAAGCCATCTATCATAGGTTCTCAAAGTGGGAGCTGGAACAATGGAGGTGGGGGAACAGGGCAATAGTAGCCTTGAGTGCAATTGGGGGCACTGAATAAAAATAAAGGGGTGGTGGAAGCATAAGGAAAGGGAAGATAAGAAAATTCTGAACAACTGTTTGTACATGTTTCATCAGTTGTGTAACAGAGTTAAAGTCATAGTGATTACATTACTTTCCAAATAAACGTGCAAAATGCAAATTATAATGGATCAGTAGTCAAGTCTGCCGACAGGTCTTAACAAATAAGCGTTGGCAGGCAAAGGTGTCGTGCATTGTTGGGAAGTCCAGTATGCATCGGCAGGAATATGTGCATGTAATGACTTGTTTACGATACGATACTATTCAGTTACATGATGCAATATTGCGTCATCAAAATTTTAATGCAGGGAAAAAACCCACAAAATAAAATAAATTCTTAAATTTAAGATGCATTATTTAAAAATATTTTATATATTTTTTGAAATGATGCAAATCTAAAAAAAACCCATTAAAGTAAGTAGATTTTCAGGGAGGTGCTGAATAATTTTCTTTTTAAAAGGGAGTGGTAGGCCAAATAAGTTTGGGAACCTCTGATCAATATCTAAAGCACTCCCCTGATCTATCTGTAACCCTGTCACAAAAGGAAATAAGGTTTGTCTGGAATGACCTGTTCTTAATGAAATGATGCTGGCTTTTTGTGATAATAGCTTCCTTTTCTGGAATAATAATCACTTTTAATAGTATATCATAGATTTTTGGTAGGAATTAAAGTCAAACAATCTAGTCTTAGGTTTGCAGATTTTATCATAGGATCATAGAGTTAAGGCTGAAAGGTATCTCAAAAGTCATGTAGTCCAATCCCCTGATTTTGTAAATGAGGAAACAGAGATGCTTATTCTTCCTTTTTCTTTTTTTTTAAAATAAAACAGATGAGAATTACTTTTTATTAATGGACCTCTACAACAGATAACTCCATTTCTTCTCCTCTCACTCTCTTCTTAACCTCTTACAATTTGGTTTCTCACCTCATCATTCTACCAAAATTGTTTTTTCCAAGTTACTAATAATCATCTAACTGCCAAATCCAATGGCTTTTCACAATTCTCATTCTTCATAACTTCTTTGCAGCCATTGATGTTGTTGATCACTCTCTTTTTGACACTATCTTCTCTCTAGGTTTTTGGGACACCAGTATCTCCTCTCAGACCACTCTTCATTATCTTTTGCTATATCTCCATCCAGGTCATGTTCCCTAACCAAGGGTGTCACGGGGTTATTTCTCTAGCCCTTTTCTCTTTTTCCTACAGTCTATTTTCTTGGTTATCTTATCAGCCCCTCATGGATTTAATTATCATACCTATGCTGATGATTTTCAAATATTCCTATCCTGCCCTAAGCATTCTGGTCTCACATCTCCAGCTGGATGTCTCATAGACATCTTAAACTCAACATATTCAGAACTGAACTCAGTATTTTTCCTACTGATCTTTTCTCCTTCCAAACTTCCCTATTACTATCTCAGGAAACACCATTCTCCTAGTCCTTCAGACTTGCAATCTAGACATCAGCCTCAACTCCTCACTATATCTCAACCTCCATATCCAATCAGTTATCAATTTCCTATTGTGCTACATCTTTTTAATATGCCTCTTTCTCCTCTGATATTGCCAGTACCCTGATGTGGCCCTCATCACAGACAAATGCAATATCCTGCTGGTTGTCTGAATACCACAAGTTTTCGCCACTCTAATCCACCCTCCATTCAGCCATTAAGGTAATTTTCCTAAAGTATAGGTCCAAAAATCTTATTCATCTACTCAGTATACTCCAGTGGCTCCCTATCACTGACACGATGAAACATAAAATGTTCTGTTTAGCATTCAAAGCCCTTCATAACCTCTTCTCTCACCTTTTCACCCAATTTATATATCACCTCCCCCCACACTTTTCGATCCAGTAACACTGGTCTCCCTGCTGTTCCATAGACCTCTCAGCATCACTTGAATCTGGACATTTTCTCTAGCTATCCTCCATGCCTAGAATGCCCTCCCTCTTTATCTCAGCCTCTTGGCTTCCCAATTTCCTTCAAGTCACAGTTAAAATCCTACCTTCTATAAGAAGTCTTTCCAATCATCTAAATTCTAGTGCCTGTCCTTTTTTTATTATTTCCAGCATATCCTGCATATGGTTTGTTTGTAAATATTTGCTTGCTGGCTTCCTCATCAGCTTGTGACATCTTTTACTCTTCTTTGTATCTCAGTGCCTGGCACATAGTAGGTGACTGGCTATTGACTAATGAGAACACTGTACTTCTCATGTGGAGAGTTGATAGTAAATAACAATGCTGCCAGTTAGAATGTTACTATTTCCCCTGTTTTTTACAAGAGTCAACCTGATCCCAGCAGGGTAACCCATATGTAAGTTTCATATGTCCTTGATAATTAGCATTCATATAGCCCTTTAAGGTGTGCAAAACCATTTACAAGTGTTAGAACAACCCTGGGAGGTAGGTGTTATTATTATCCCTATTTTATAGACGAGAAAACTGAAGAAGACAGAAGTTAAATAACTTGCCCAGGGTTAAATTATCTGAGGCTAGATTTGAACTAAGGCCTCCCTAACTCCAGATCTAGCATTTTGGTCACTTTGCCACCTAGTTGCCTTACTGAGGGATTATTCTTATAAAAATGGTATAGCTATGGAAAAATAAGAATAAAGTGTCAGTAGGTATTACTATTCTCTGCCATCTTTTTTATTGGGAATAAGAAATCCTGAGCTTTCTCTCATGTCTTCCATATCCTTCCCTCCTTCAGATAACTTGAGAATTCAAATCTTTAATGTATTCAAAAACCTACATGAAAAAAAAAATACTGTGTCTGGCATTCAAAGCCCTTCATAACATACCTTCCTGTCTACTTTTCCAGTCTACTAACACCTTTTACCCCGCCCCACTCACATGGCTTCAGTCCAGTGACATCAGCCTCCTGGTTGTTCCTCAAACAAGACACCCTGTCTGTCCAGCCTGGGTGTTTTCTCTTTGGCTGTCTCCCATGTCTGGAACATTATTCCTCCTCCACTAAGACTACTGACTAGCCCGATTTCCTTCAAATCTTAGCTAAAATTCTACCCTCTAAAGGAAGCCTTTACCAATTCTTCTTAATTTCAGTGCCTTCCTTCTCTTAATTACTTTCTATTTTTCCTGTATGTAGCTTGTTTGTATATATTTGTTTGATTGTTGTCTCCCCCGTTAGACTGGAGCTCCTTTAGGGAGGGGACTGTCATTCTTTCTTGGTATCCCTAGCGCTTAGTGGCACAACTTTGGGGCTTAATAATGCTTATTGAGTGACTGATGTGCTTTGTATATTTTTAATCTAGTCTAGCTGATCTTCTCTTCTTTTGTTGTCATTTATGACATTTCTATTTTCTCACCCATCATTTGGAAGATGGTGAAGTTGAAGTCCAAATGTGGTGATTCCACTGGTAATTGATGGAGAGAAGAATTTGTTACACAAATACTTACACAGTTTTTTCATCTGCCTGTGTCACCTGTCCAGTTACATGCTTAAATAACCTTGAGATGACTTGGTTTAACAAAAGTCTCTTTGTCAAGCTTTCTTCAAACTTGTTTTATCTCCAGTGCTTATTTTTGTTTTAAGAGATCATTTTTACTGATGCCTTATCTTTTTAGCACTATAATCTTTTTCTGAGATTTTGTGTACCCATAGAATTGTTCCTTGTAAAAAATAAAAATAATAAAGCAAAACAGACTGACAAAGGACCATATCTTGTAGTGTGAATAACAGCTCTCATTTGAAGTCCATCAACTCTCTAATGTGAACAGAGAAATGTGTTTCATCATCTATTTTCCAGGACCAAGTTGGGGTACTGGAATCAATCTGAGTTTGGTTACTTTGGAGGGGTATTTTAATCTGTATTTTTATACTATATTTTACCCTACTATTTTAAGGAACAAAGCTGTACCTGGGTAAACACATTTAACACTTCTTTAAGTGAATAACTACCTTTATGATTATAAATAAAAACTAAGGTGGAAGTAAACATAATTTTTGCAAAAGCATCTCACATTTAGGGAAATATGTTTGCCTGATTTGATTATGATAAAGGAGACTATAATTACCTTGACAGATTCCAGCAAACTCTTAGGAAAAAATCTCTTTAAACCAACATCCTTTCTGAAATACAAAAAGAAGTATATTAACAAATAACACTACCAGCTGAATGAATAAAATGAAAATCTTTCAAGGAAATTCAAAAACATAGGTGCACATAAGGATAAAGGTACAATAAAATCTTGATTAAACAATAAGTTAAGGGAATAGTAGATTCTGGTAAAGATTTCCAAGTTATGCAGAGAAAAAAGAAGTCTAAAGGGTTGTGGAAATTACTTTGCTTCAACCTGCATTGAAAATCTTTCTAAAATGTATTATGGTATATGCTAGAAAATACTATGTGATCAATTCTTGATTCAATATCTTAGAATAAGATTAATCAGCATAAATACAATCCCAACTATACAATGACTTAGATGTAGCAGGCTACATGGCACTAGCACATATTTTGCATGCTTAGAGAATCACAGATTTAGAGCTGAACAGAATCTCAAGAGAACGACTAAGGAGCTGCAACAGGACTACAAATTCCGTGTATGTTCCATTATATCACACTTGTTACTTAAGTAAAAATTCATTAAAAATATATATAACTTTTTAACACGAGCTTAGATCATAACACAAGGCCAAGTAAAGATGATAAGATCCAGAGCTTAAAGATATTAGATTTCCTTATTCTTTCAAAAACTCAGGTAGGCCAAAAAGGTTGGGTAATTAACATCAACTTGTTCAAGGAGTTAGTCAATTAGAAGTCATCTTTTCTATGAAGTATGTGTGTATACACACATACGCACACACATGTATATGTGCACACATACATGTGTAGGTATATATACATACATGTACACATGTATGTAGTCTCTGAAGGACATCTCTGTGATAAGTTACCCTTTTTGCCATAAAGTATTCTTGATAACTTAAAAAGAAATAAAAATAGCAAAAACTGAATCATTTCCCTCCATGAAAAGTTGTGATTAGAACGCATGAACAATAACAACCATCACCACAGTAACAATAGCAATTATAACAAAGTAAATAAACTTTAAATAGTTGTACATTATGTTACTTGATTCTATCAAACTGCAAGGCTGATGCTGCTCAGCTACTAGCCACTAGATGGAACCTGTATGCAGAAAAGCAGAACTACTTCCTGTATGTGCTTTTTGCTGTTTTCTGATACCAGTAGGGATAGAAAAATGAACAGGTTATAGGAAAGTAAAATGAAAAGATAAAAGAATCATTTTCCCACTCTATATTTACCTGCCTCCTCCACTGTGCTCTTTGTAATGCCTGCTCCATAGTTAACAAATTTGTTTTCATCTTAAACTTTTCCTGTATCTGGCCCTCACTGAGACCTAGTTCCCTCCTGATGACAATGTATCCTTTGCCAGCTTTTCTAGCACTAGTTACACTTTCATTCACACTGCCTGTTTGTGGTAGGAGTGTTGGAATACTCTTTGCTTCCCACTGTCACATCCAGACTCTCCCTCTATCATCATTTAGACACTTCTCCTTTCCTGAGATTCAAACTATTCAAATTTGCCATCTAATCCAGATACTGGTGGCTATCATTAATCAACCTCTAAGACACTCTCCTTCTTCAGTGAGTTCAGGGCCTACCTCATAGTCTTTCTCGAAGGTGCAACTCCTGTACTCACAGTAGGGGAATTCAAAATCAGTTTAGGGTGGCAGATTGTATATAAGGTAGTAGGAAATGAAGCTGAGGAAGGTTAGTGACTTGCCAAGTATTACATAGATAATAAGTGTGTGAGGAAGGCTTTTCAAAGCCTTAAGTCTTCTTGATTCCAAGTCAAGCACTCTTACTCACTGTGCCATTTAGCTGCTTCCAAAACAGAATCCACCTTGTCTTAATTCCCCTATTCTAAAACCTAAGTATGGAATAAAAGACTTGATATATTGATGAACTTATTGCCAACAATTTCAATGAGCATGAGAATGACAAAAACTCTAAGGATTTATGTAATAAAATAGCTCATTTTTCTGTAGCACCTTACTATTTTTAAAGTGCTTTATATACAATATCCTCATGAGGTAGTTAGTACAGGTATATTTGCATTTTTAAAATATATAAACTGAGGCTTAATGAGTTAAGTGACTTCTTAATACATAGTAATTGCTACCATCATATAACATTTCAAGGTTTGCAAAGGGCTTTACGTGTCTTGCCTCAACTGGTGCTCACAACAATCCTGTGAGACAGGTACTATTATTATCTCTTACACATGAGGAAAGAGAGTCTGAGGGAGATTAAATGACTGGCCTAGGGTCACACAGTTAGTAAGAGACAGAAGTAGGATTTGAACTCAGGTATCCCTGACTCCAAGCCCCATGCTCTATCCCCTTCACCACAAGCTGCTGAGTCAGAGCCCATTTTACAACTCAGAGTGCTCTTTCCATTACACCATGGTAATTTTTGAATGTATTTTTAAAACAATTTTAATTAGTTCATCCACATTATATTTGCATGTATAGATACTCTTTCTCTGCTATACACTGTATGAATGAGGAAATAGGTATAAACTACTTAAATAAGTAACCTGAAGATATGCAAAGATCCAATGACAGATACAGGATTTTGACTCTTCTATCAGTCAATCAACTTATCAATCCAGCCTAAGTGTCACAGCAGAGACTTTTAAGGATCTCAGATAATTGCCTAAGGTGCCACATTCAAAGTGTTCAGTTGGTGCTTATTATAGATATCTAAATTAAAAGCCTCTCTCAGGAAACAAGACAAGGCACACATGGAGCTGCCCTGTTTTTAATACAAGGTCACCTTCATCCCTACTTTAGCAAAGCATCTGGCAGTGTTTTATAACATACATTGTTCTTTTCAGTAGGTTAGCCATTGTAAAGGATAACCTTTCTTTGGGCCAGAGCAACCAAAAAAAAAAAAAAAATCCTAAAGTTCGCATCTTAGGAAACTCAACACAATAAAACCTAAATGTACTAAACTGATAAGGAAAGGAATGATTATCCATGATAAAAAAAAGTAAATTTTACTATAAAAAGAATCCAAAAACAGGGTTCATCTTTATAAAGCAAGCTACTGAATGCAATGTAGTAATATTTTGCACATAATAGGTATTTTTTTAATGTCTGCTGAACTGAACTAATTTTACATGTATCTTTTTACAGATGAACTCTTAAGAATCCTTTCTAGTCCCATATTCCTACAATCTGTTGAATAGTGGTAGGCTAAATTTAGGAATGGTTGTGGTTTGAAAGGTTCATTTGTGAATTGGTTGTTTGCCTCTCAGAATGCATTTCTCTCCTTCACACCACCATAAAAATGTTAGAAATGCACATACAGACCTATCCATAAAATTAGATTTTTACTCATTTCTTTAAAAACTGCTCAAGTTCTTTCTGCCATCTTGCAGCGCTGCCACCATGGTGCACATGAATGTCCTGGTAGATGTGCTCAAAAGCATCAACAATGCAGAAAAGTGAGGAAAATGCCATGTTCTCATCAGGCCATGCTCTAAGATAATTGTCCGGTTCTTAACTGTGATGATGAAGCATGGTTACATTGGCGAATTTGAGATTATCGATGATCACAGAGCAGGAAAAATTGTTGTGAACCTCACGGGCAGATTAAACAAGTGTGGTGTGATCAGTCCCAGATTTGATGTTCAATTGAAAGATCTGGAAAAGTGGCAGAATAATCTGCTACCATCCCATCATTTTGGGTTCATTGTGCTTACAACCTCAGCTGGCATCATGGACCATGAGGAAGCAAGACGAAAACACACAGGAGAAAAAATTCCGGGATTCTTTTTCTAAGGGTGTAAAACATACATAAATAAAAATGCTCCAATGGAAAAAAAAAACCTGGCTCAAAATGAGTAGCTTGATCACTTCTAAGTTCTAAGACTTCAAATCCCTTAAACTTCAAGCATCCATGAGCCTTAATTCATCATGTAAAAGGTTCAGACTCTGGGCGCTTGACAGCTCCTATGGTATCACCATCATACAAAATTATACAGCTAACATTTACATGCCATACTTCCCTATCTACTGAATCCTTCCCTGATGTCTATAAACACACACATCTCCCTCAATTTAAAAACAAAAAACATATAAAAACAAACCCTCTTACAACATGACTAATGTGAAAACAGGTTCAGTATGAATGTATATGTAGAGCCTATATCAGACTGCATGCTGTCTTGAGGTAGGGGGAGGGGAGAGATGGGGAGAAAATTTGGAACTCAAAGTCTCATGGAAGTGAATGCTGAAAACTAAAAATAAAGAAATAAATATTTTTTAAAAACCTTCACTTGATCTGACTATCTTTGCCAGCTATCATCCTATGTTTCTCCTTCTCAGCTAAACTCAGTTAAATTCAGCAAAACTCCTTGAGATGGGCAGCTAGGTGATACAGTGGATAGAGCACTGGCCCTGGAGTCAGGAGGACCTGAGTTCAAATCTGGCCTCAGACACATAACACTCACTAGCTGTGTGACCCTGGGCAAGTCACTTAACCCCATTGCCTAGCCAAAAACAAAAACAAAAAACCCCCTTGAGAAAAGCAGTTTATACTAGGTACCTCCACAAGCTCTTCTCTCACTCTCACTTGGTTCTAGACTCACCACAATTTGGCTTCTGAACTTATCATTCAAGTGATATTGTTCTCTCCAAAGTCACCAATGGTTTCATAATTGTCAAATCTAATGCCCTTTCCTATTTCTTCATCCTACTTGACCTCCCTGCATCCTTTACTACTCTTGATCACCCTATCCTTCTGCATACTGTCTCCTCTCTAGGTTTTCATGACACTACTCCCCTGGTCCTCTCATCACACTGACCAATGATAGGTAACCCTTCCTAGTTTTTGTTCTGAGCCTACACAATATTTTCTGCTATTCTGCTTACTGATCTCATCAACTCCCATGAGTTCAATTATCATCTCTGCAGATGATTCTCAGATCTATACAGCCAACCCTAACCTCTCCTCTGATCTCTAGTCTCACACCTTCAACTGACTTTTTAGATATCTCAAAATAGATATATTACTGACATCTCAAACCCTACATACC